GGGCCAGTACATCCCCTGGCGAAATAGCAGCCATTTCATCTTATGGCCTACTTGATGTGCTCCACATGTCCCACCATGGAATGAAGACAATGCCAAGTATGCTTCGGATTCACTGAGGCATTTAAGTAAAACTCCCTCTGAGGTTTTCTTAAATAACTCATTCCCCAGAAGGACATAGCTTATCGCTTGATATTTTATTTTCCGCTATGTGGTTGCCAAAGGGTTCTGAAGGTACTCGACCAAAGGTTTCCTCCAATATTTGTCTGTAAGGCCTTCGACTGTAAAAATCTCGAAGGTTTCTTCGTCAGCATAGCCAAATTTCGTAACTTCCAAGTCTGACGGTCTCAAACCTACAGACATAACCTTGCCTCTGGCCTCTATTGCTTCTTGCAAGTTTTCCTTCGAGACCCTATATCCTGAAGCGACTTGCGCCAAATCGTTGGCTATCTGATTGTGTAGTCGTGTATATGTCGAATAATGCACACTTCGAATTTTTTGAGTAGCCTGTTGGCTATCACGAAATACATAATGAGATTTTCTTTAACGCACTTGTACTCCTTTGTTAATTGTTTCACAACCAACTCTGAATCTCCCATTATTTCGACTTGGGTTGCCCCCAATTCTAACAAAATTTCAAGTCCAACAATCAAAGATTCATATTCAACTTCGTTATTAGAACATAGGCCCTTGACTCTATACTTGAATTTTGTTAGAATTTTGTCAGGCGAAATGATCAACAGACCTATGCCTGTCCCGTTCTTGTGACTAGGCTCGTCGAAGTATAGCTTCCAAGGCTCTAGTTATACAATGTTTAGGGTACTTTCATTTATGGAGTGGTCGACGTTGAAGTCTGCCACTATTTGACCTTTGACCGCTTTTAACTGTCTATATGTTAGTGAGTACTCAGTTAATGCTAATGCCCATTTACCAATTCGACTATGCAAGATGGGCTTGGACAACATATGTTTAATAATATCAAAATGCGACGAGACATAAACATCAACAAGTTTTAGATATTGCTTTAACTTCATACATGAGAAATATAAACATAAGCACAATTTCTCTATCTCGCTATACCTAGTTTCTGCATCATTTAAAACTCTGCTAAGGTAGTAAATGGCTCTTTCGACACCATTTCCATCCTCTTCAGCAAGCATGCTCCCTAGAGTTTTGTTGACGCTGTTATGTACAGTCTCATGCTTTTATTTCGACATGGAGGTGAAAGGACTGGAGGATGAGTCAAGTAGTCTTTGATCTTGTCGAAAGCTTCTTGCTAATCTTTCCTCCATTCGAAATTCTCCCTGGTGGTTCGAAGCAATGGTGAGAAGGCCTGCGTTTTTCCACTGAGGTTCAATATGAACCTTCTTAGGAAATTTATTTCTCCCAGCAAGGATTGTAGTTCCTTTTTGTTGGATGGCGCTTTCGCTTCCATGATGGCCTTTGTTTTGTTTTGGTTGATTTCGATCCCCTTCTTGTGGACTATGAAACCAAGAAAATCTCCTGCTTGTACGCAAAATGCACACTTGAGGGGATTCATTTTCAGGCCAAACTTCCTCATCCTTAGGAAGGACTTGCGCAAATGTTCTACATGAGCTTTTCTTGACACAGATTTTATCACAATGTCATCAACATATATCTGCATAAAGGACTCAATGTAATCATGAAAAATAGAATTCATCGCCCGCTGGTACGTTGCCCCAACATTTTTTAGGCCAAAAGGCATCACTACCCATTCGTAAGTGCCTAAGTTCCCTGGGCAACGGAACGTCGTTTTAGGAACGTCGTCCTCAGCAATAAAAATCTGGTTGTAACTAGAATATCCATACAACATGCTAAGGTACTCGTGGCCAGCGGCTGAATCGACTAGCATTTCTGCCACTGGCATCAAATACTCATCTTTAGGGGTTGCTGAATTTAAATCCCTAAAGTCTATGCAAACTCTTAAAGATTTGTTTTTCTTAATGACTGGTACAATGTTTGCTAGCCATTCGACATAACTGGTCGTACGGATGAACTTGCATCGGAGGAGTCTTTCGATCTCTTCCTTTATCTTTGAGAGGATCTCAGGGACGAAACGTCTTGGGTTCTGTTTGAATGGTCTTTTGCCAGGCTTGATTGGTAGCCTATGCTCGACTAGATCTCTTTTTAGACCTGACATTTCGTCGTAGTCCCAAGCAAAACAATCCCTGAACTCTCGCAGTAACTGGATGGTTTCGACCCTGAGTTGGGGGTCGAGGTTGGCGCTGATATACGTTGGCCTTTTGATCACTCCATCTCCTAGATCCACTTCCTCCAATGGGTCTTGCGCCAACATTTTAACATCGTTGGCCAAGGGATCTTTTTCAAAACCCAAAGGTTCATCGTCATAGATGGCATCGAGTCTTTGCCTTCGTATTGAATCTTGTCGGGAGGCTTGGGGTCGAGACGCCCACCTGAGCCTATTTGTTCCAATTCTTCGTTGGCTCTCTCAACCATTTTGTTATTAGCGGCCTCCAAGGCCGTTTGTAGCTTAGTTTCAGCCACGTAGGCCGAAATCCTTTGAAGCGCTATGGCTTCAGTCATCATCACTAAATTCACTTCCCCACCCAGTGGGGTCTATGGGAAGTTCGCCAAGGTATGGTAGTCTTTCACCCGACACTTCCTTGTCCCATCGAAAACCTTCGACGGGGTGCAGATAGAGTGAGCAATACACTTCGTCATTTGGTGTAAATTCAAAATCTGCAGGTTCGCATGGGCCTATGCTGGCCAAATGTTTGTTGAACTATCTTCTATCGACATGGTTTATAGGTGCTTTGAAATACCCTTGATCTGCTTCAATGTTTTCGACGATGCCATCAGGTATCCAGATGGCGATCCTTTGATACATCGAAGATGGTACTTCCCCTACTCCATGGATCCATTCTCTTCCAAGCAATAGATTATAGTTGGCATTGGTTTCTACTACCATGAAGACAGTTGGGCGGGTAATGGTTCCGACCGTGATATTCACTTGTATGACCCCCATGGTCGAACCCACTTTTCCTTCATAGTTTGACAATACCATGTTGTGCGGCTTGGTATCCGTCTCATCTTTTCTAATTTTGTTCAACAGAAAATACCGCATTAGGTTCACCGTAGCGCCGCAATCCACCAAGATTTTGTTAACTAGGACCTTCTCTACTTGTGTCGTAATATAAAGAGGCTTCAGATGACTCTTCATCGCCTCTGTGGGCCGTTCGAAGAATACGTTTTGCTCCTCGACGCAACCATTTTTCATCACATAGTAACATACCGGCTTATGAGCCGTCGTCTCCCAGTCCGTATAGGTGTCCAAGTTTTCAACCACGAAAATCCTGTCAAATTCCCTGGGCATCACTGATACTACGTTGACCAAAATATCCAGAGTATCGTCAGAGTCTTCATCAAAATTATTGGTCATTTCGTCATCGATCGATTTACTCTGCTCTTCGACCTGTGTTGGAAATAACTTTCGTCCTACAGGTGTCTTCCCAAACGCTTTTGTTCGTCCTTGATTTTCGACAGGAACGTTGGTGCTGGACTCTGATTGGTCCCTTTGTGCACCTTCCCTGAGTGCTTTTCTTTTTCTCTGTTCTCGTCTCCATTGCGATTGAGACATGGAATTTTTCCCTTTATAATTTTCTGATACATGGGCAGCCTTTGAAGACCGAAACTCTTTCTGATAGCTTAACGAAGATCCTCGTTGCACTTCGAAGTTCTTCCACCTCTTCTGCCCCTGCTTCCTATTCTCATTGAGCTTCGTCCACTTTCCATCAGTGGCCTCAACATTGGGCTTAAAACTAGTGGTTTTGCTTGTAGGAGGCCTTATGCGGGGGTCAGATCTTTTTTGAAGGCCTCTTCGAGGGTCGAATCTGGGCCTCTCGTTATCTTGCCTTAGCCTTCGTGTTCCTTCTAGATTTTGTGCGGCCTTTTTGTCAAATATGGCGCTGCATCGGGGACAAAGCATCACACTAGAACCTCTCTCTTGGCAGCGGTGAAGGAAAGCAACGATCGATTTCTCCTGCTCTGGGTATACTTCCCTAGTGTGTGTCCCCTGGTAATTCGACTCACTGTCCGCTACATCTTCATGTTGGGTGATTTCTACCATGTTAATTTCAACTTTTTTGACCAGATTAAGCTTCTTCAGGCCTAGCTCCACGCCTTTAGTAGCTTGATCAATTCTGACGAAGTCATCAGCAGTTTCTTTGGTCACTATCTCCCAACCTAGATTGCTCTTTTTGTTCAAACTTATGGCTTCATCCCTTTGGTCACAGTCATCAATTTCCATTTCCACACAGTTCTTTTGTCCAAAGTTCATGGTAACCTTCGCCATCACAGCTTCGTCTATGGGATTGTCGGTAGTTTCTGTTATGTCGATTGAAAAGTCGTAGCCATCAGTAACTTCGACTGGTTTTGTATAGTGTGCGTCTAGCAAATTGTAATACTATATTTGAAGTTTTTGAAACTATCTTTGTACACTTCAAATATCTTACGACCTTTGCTTCAAGGAGATTAACCCTTGAGAATGGTTGTGATCAACAAACTTTCTTAACACATGGAACAAGTGGAAGAACAAGGCTAGTGTAAGGAATCAGTGTTGAAACATCTTCACTTATGTCCACCTTATGCAATACATTTGCAAAAGAGCGATTTCCAAATGATTCAAAGCTCCATCTTTAAGATTGTTAAAAGAAATAACGAACATCATATGGGAGAATAAATACTCATATAAGGGAAATGAAGTCAAGGCAGAAAATAAAAATTACACCAACGGTTGAAATGAAGTCTCATATATGTAAATTACACTTGAGTCCACCCCTTAATTAATATGTTCACAATTTCCAAATCAAACCAACTGTCTCGTTCACCGCCAGTAGCATCGCATGCGCAGACTCCTTTCATACGCAACAAGTTAACAAACCAAACCATTTCTCCGAACGTTTCGTTAATGCTTATCGGCGGCGGCGGCGGCGGCTAATTCCTTTGCATCAACCTCCACCACGATGACGCCGTCTCAGGAAAAACGTCACCGTTCCATCTTCGAACTTCCATCAAACTACTTCGACTCTTGTCGTCTTCTCCCTTCTCCTCACTCCTCAGTTTCCGACCTCAACGCAAACCACGAAACCCTTCATTCAACCTCAAACGACGCCGTCGTTTTGGGAACTAGGTTAACCTGCAATACCTGTAAGGCTCAGTTCGATTCTCTTCAAGACCAACGTTCCCACTTCAAATCCGATATTCATCGATTCAATGTTAGATTCACTCCATCCCTCTCTATATAATTCATTATTTGCTATGTATTCAATTTTTGAATTTCACTTTCAGTTTTAGGTTTTTCTTTTGGTAGAGTTTAGATATCCATTTTAATTTTTAAGAGGAAAAAAATTGAAAATTGTGTTTTAGGTTAAACTGACAATTGCTGGGAAACATATTGTGAAAGAAGAAGATTTTGAGGTTCTGACATCTGATTTTGTTAAAGACTATGATGTTTCAAGTATATCTGGTTCAGAAAGTGACACCGATGACGATATTGATAGTGAAAATGAGTGTCGAGCGCGAAGTGATGTGCGTGGTAAGTACGGTGAAAGCTTTAAACAGAAGCTATTTGTCTGTCTTCAGACAGGGCAGAGAGTTTCGGTCTGGAAGTGTTTGATTATGAATGTGAGCGAAAATGTGTTGTATGAGGATGAACAAGTGCAGAGAAATTTGGCTGAGAGGTTGAAATCTCTGACTGTTGAGCCCAGGGATAATAGCAGGTTGAGGATCGTTCTGCTTGCATCTGGTGGGCACTTTGCGGGATGTGTCTTTGATGGTGAAACAGTTGTGGCTCACAAGACATTTCACAGGTTAGCAGTTGCTGTTTGTTATCCAATGGGAATCTTAGCATTAGAATTAGTTTGCAATGCATGGCCCCGTTCTTTCCCTCCTTCATGAGAATAAACATTATGTTGACAACACCCCTTTTCTCAAATAACTTCCAATCCATTTTACAAATTTTGCTATTCTCATTTTGGCTCTCTATTTTACGAGCAATAAGCACTTGTGATTGGGTTCAATAATATTTTTCAAAATTGTTGAAATTATGATTTTAGTCTTTTATGTATAATAGTGTGAAGAAAATGAGAGAAAGAAGACTACATACTCTGATTTCGATATTCATGCAATATGAGATATGAGATATTGGCGGTGTTTGAAAAGACAAAACACTGTTACCTATTTATACTTGTTCTAGACTCATAATTTTAATTGAATTAGGAGACAACATAAAATCTACGGAAATATGACAGCCAGTTTTAAGATATCACCTACAATACTATAACATATTTTAAGATACAATATGATCTTATGAGATGTTTTTCATATATAATATATTCCTGTTTGAACGGAAGCAAGATCAATTCATTTCTTCAATGATCAACGGGTACAAGAATGGTGGAACATCGTGAAAAGTAGTGGGGAATCATGAGATAGTGAAGCTCTAGCTAGACTAGGAGCTACTCTATTGATTTGTCTCCTAACATGAGCCACTCTGTAATCAGTGTGAACATCAAGGATGGCTTTACATTGGGATAATATTTCACCCAACTCGTCACAGTAGTTAGCGGAGCAATGGATGATATCGGCAATTGGCTTGTTATCAAGTAGTCACTGGAAGCCCAATAAGAGGGCTTGCTGCATGGCTTCAAGAAGGCAAACAGCCTCTGATTCCGTGGCAGAAAGTTTGCATAAAGACAAAGCTGTTTTGCCTATACCAAATGTACCTGCCGAGTCCCTGAAACAGAAACCAATTCCAACCAGTGTTAGAGTGAAAAAGAACATAGTCCAAAATGAAAATGAATGTTTATAAACCTCTACATTATTCTTATAGTATGTTGACACTGTTCAGCTTAATTTTACAAGACAGTATGACCTATTTCATTCTTCTTAATTGTTGACCCAATGCCTATCTTTTTGTTTCCTTATTTATTTTTATTATTACTAATCATATTGAATGCAAAATTGTAAATGGACTTTCAAGAATTATGTTTTCTTATACTCTTGTCATTCATATGCAGATATGTTGTGAGGGCCAAGGCTGGGAAAAAACAGTCTACAAATGATGCTTCTGGCAGGGCTGCACATTCTGCTGGTGCTTCACTTCGTCGTTATAATGAACTTGCATTAAAAAAGGTTGTTTAATCAAAGCTATATTGCTTTGCTTGCTAATTTTTTTCTCCATTCTAACAAATTTTTTTGTTCTGCACTCTGGTGTTCTGATTTTTTTTAAGTGACGCTAATGGTCATTTTACGACCACCGCCCCCGAGGGAATCTGACCTCAGTACCTTGAGGTTACAATGCCCAAGCTTTAACCACTGAGGTAGCATCTCAAGTGCACGGTGTTTTGAAATTAACATATATAGCTAGCCAATTTATTGTGCATCGTGGAATTGTATGTAGCTGTATAATGGTTGACAAATGTGTGTTTACATATAAATTGTTATACAAGGTAGCACTGATAATCGGCCCTACTGGTCATTATTTTTGACCAATTGACTGTTGTATTCTTCTTCCAATTATACTTATTACTTACAGATGAATATCTTTCGGAGATACTCATGGAATTGCTGGAAAAATGTTTTCTTATTACCTTTGTTTTTTTGTTGGAATTCATGTGCATTTGTGGACAATGATATGTAAATATGGACTGATTATTGGCATGCTAATATTGTAGGAAGTTCACGAACTGCTTACTGCTTGGAGACCTTATTTTGATGCTTCTATTTGCATTTTTATACACGCACCTTCAAGTAGTCGTCAACTACTTTATGATGGAGAAAAGCCATGTTTTACTAATCCGCAATGTGCCAGAAATATTGCTATGATTGTCCGCAGGCCCACTCTCAGGGAAGCAAAACGTGTATATGGCCAGTTGACACTAGTATCTTATGAAGCAGATGAGAAGGAAATTTTACAAAGCGATCAACAAGAAGCGGTGCCACCAATTCGTATTGCTAAAAGAACTGGTGCCACACCTGCCAGCAAAGTGGACATGGCTGGATTGGATAAAAACAACAAAGCCGAAGCTTCTTCCAGTAACCAAAATGATGAACCTCTTATTTCAAGTAACGACGAAAGTGAGAACGAGTTATCTGGTAAGTCAACTCCTTTACATCAAGCAGCACAATCTGCTGACTCTCAAAAGGTTACGGAGCTCCTGGAACAAGGCTTGGATCCATGCATCAAAGATGAAAGGGGACGGACCCCGTATATGTTGGCACCTGACAAGGAAGTCAGGAACACTTTTAGAAGGTTTATGGCTTCAAATCCTGATAAATGGGATTGGAATGCTGCAAAAGTGCCTAGTGCATTGACCAAAGAAATGGAAGAATCACAAGCTGCTAAACAGGTGATTCTGATGTTTCTAAGAATAAATTTTGTTGAATGATTTAAAATCGGATTATTGCATTTTTTTACTATGGACACTTTTCTCTGCATTTGAAGACTAGCCTATAAATATTATTGGCAGCAAAAGACCAACCAGGACATAATAAGTATGATTGGTTGAAAAACATATCCTTCATTTTAGGGAACCATATCTGTGATTAAGTTTCTTGCCAGTCCCCATTTGACGTGACTCATTGAGGTTTTGACTTTTATTGATCAAATCTAAGAACTCCCGTGGAAGAATAATTCTTGTCGCTTTGTGCTTGTACAGGCAGAAAAAGATGCCAAGAGAAAAGCTAGAGCAAAAGAATTGAAGAAATTACGTAAGGCAAAAGAAAAGAAGGCCCAGGTACATTTTTATTCTTTCCATCTTTATGTAGCATGATGACCTCACATTAGTTTTCTAGGTCTTGTTTATAAAAGATATTACCATAGGTAGTCAATAGCACCACTGTTGTGTTGGAGTTGCCTTTGGCCTTAGGGATGCCATCGCGCCTCATAAACTGATGCCATTGGCAGTGCTACAAAGATGAGGGGTGCTGGCGCGTTTTGGGCTTTTTGCATCCAATTAGGGCTTTAGAGTTCTCACAGAACTCGCAAAACTCACTATCTCTCCTTCAAACATTGAATCAGAGAAGCTGCTCCACGCATCCTACATCCGATGACCCACCAGCCGGTGACCCAACATCCAGTGATCCAAGCAACCGGCAACCTAGCATCTCGCAATCGGTGGCCTGTTTCTTGTCTGTTTCTGGCGGCGTATTTCTGGTCTTTGTATGTGTCTGGGGCAAAATGATCATGGAGAGAGGAAAACAGAAACACAGATAAAGAAAGACAATGCTGCTTTCTGTGAAGGGTGAAAAAGTGTGACTAGGAGTCTTATTTTTTTGCGGTTGAATGGAATTAATTTTTATCATTGTTGTTTTATGACATATCGTATGGTATCATTGTCTTTTAAAAGCTTTGTTTTTTGTAATTGTGACCTAAACAGCTATTAACATGTCAAAATTACTTAATCCAATTGGTAAAATTTCCTTTATTATTATTGAAAGCTATGATTTAAAATTTCATTGTCTAGTTTCTTTAAACTTGTTTATTTGTTTGCTGTTGTTGATATTTACTTGAATGTTTTGCTTAAGATCTATGACTTATTGCTAACCGTAAATGTTTCATGAATTTTGAATAATTTATTTAATTTTTTTAGCATTTGTAGTTATACTAGTTATTTTTTCACACGTGTATACTCCCTCTGTCCCTATATATAAGACCTTTTTGAAACATTTGTTTGTCCCTTAATATAAGACCCTCCTCCACAAATTTCTAGATATATTTATTACTCCTTTTTCAAATATATTGCTTATTATTACCAATTAACCTTGGAATATGTACAGTCAACATTAAATTCATCTATGTATAAAGGGTAATTTAGTAATATTCATTCATAAATTACATACATCAAAACACTATCAATTTTTCTTAAAATGCGTAGAAATTGTCAATGTGTCTCGTAAGTAGGGACAGAAGGGAATTATTTTAGAATAGTAATCATCGATCACCCCACTCTAAGTAATATTGCTAGTGTTTTTGGAGTTGGCTGCCACTCACTGCTATCTAGGATTGATAGCTATGATTTTATCTCCATTTGTAAATTAGAACTTGATTGACAGTATCATTCTTGTAAGTATACACTCTTTAGTCATTTTTTTATTTCTATTTATTAGGATTTACCTTGAAGGATTTTAGAACTATCTTGATCGTGTTGACATAGTCTGACTAGAGTGAAAACTGTACTAAATAGCTTATTATTTTATGTAGTGCAAATGTGCATGAACAAATGAGCATTCTTGGAAATTATAAAAATGAAAGTGACTCTCCGTTCATAGTTCCCTACTGATTTGCAAATTCAAATTGTTATTTGTTGTTCTGATGCTTATGCCTTAGGATGGCTACAGATATCCTTAAGAGTTTTCGTTGAGAAGCTTTGATTTGCAATGTTGTGTTTCAATCATATATGGTTCTGATGCATATTGTTGTTGAAATCTGTTGCTCTGACAAATCCTGAATGTGGTTTTCAGGCTGAAGCTGCTGAAAAACAAAAGATTGCTCCAACATCAGCTACAGGACAATCACAACCAAGAAGTGGCGTGAAATTATCAAAAGAGGTTAATACTGATTATTTGTTGGCTGAATATAAACAAATGCTAATTTTGGTATGTACAAATAGAACAAAAAACAGACATACAGTTTATTTCGTTCTCTTTGGTTTCACTTCACTCTTTTTAGTGGAACCAAAATACATTTTAGAGTCTTATTGGTTTCAGAAAACATTTTATATTTTCACTTTCGCTTTGTTTTTCCAAGATTTATACTAGAAATAATGTAAATATTTTTTCTTGAACAACTATTTATTTTTCCATGCAATTTATCTTTTGGTCTATTCTGTTCGATTTTTGACTTTCACCCACATAAAAACAGAATTAATTGTGTTCACGCAACAAGAATGTGAGATTACATAACTCTTCTGTCCCAGTATTGTTTTTCAATCTAACTGCGAACTAGTAGATTATGCGAACTGTTTAATATTTTAATTTTCTGGATTTTGTTTTACTTTTAAAATGAACAGGAGGAACTAAAAAGAGCACAGGATGAAGAAAGAGAAAAGAGAGCAGCTGCTGCTGAGAGAAGAATGGCTGCCCTCAAAATTCAAGCTAATGGCACATCAGAGGCTAATAAAAGTGGATTAGCTGGTGACATAGTCTGTTCCTGTTGTAATTCATCGCTTGCTGGTAAAGTTCCCTTCCACCGGTATAATTACAAATACTGCAGCACTTCATGCATGCATGTGCACAGAGAGATCCTAGAAGATGGATGACCGTGTATTTCCATAATGTGTAGATCTTTTTTATGTAAGTTAAGATTGGTCACAGTATCTTTTTGTTTATTATTATACGAGGTTGGAATAAAAAATGCATGGTGAAAGGAATGAATGGTTAGGTGAACTATGATTAGATTGAAATGTGTGATTTTATTTTAACTTTTTTTTTTAAAGGAATACTACAATTGAATGGTTATAATGCATCGAGGGTGTTAGCTTTTTTACAATGCATAGGAATTAAATTCAATTTTTTACCATCTAGGGAGACTCAATTTAATCTCCAAGAAAAATGGTACGACTTAATTTAGGGTCATTTTGGTTGGGGGGTTTGGAGGGGAGGGGAGGGGAGGTGAGTGAATATTTTAAAATAGATGTGTTTGGTTTAATTTTTTAAAAGGGAGGAGATTGGAGGTAATCAGAATCCTTCCTGGAGTAATTTTCCGATTTTTCCGAATTGGGGGTTTTCGGAGGGGAGGGGAGGGGTTTTCGGAGGGGAGGGAGAGGAGTTATGATAATATGTATTTTTATTATATTTATAAAATTATTTTCACTTTAATAAATTTTTTAATTGTTTTTATTAATATTATACCTTAATTTTTGTAACCTTATTATAATTCTTTCATTTGTTTAATTGTCGAAGTTTTTGGAAGGAAGGGGAGAGAGAGGAGTTATGATAATATGTATTTTTATTATATTTAAAAAATTATTTTTACTTTTATTTAATAAATTTTTTAATTGTTTTTATCAATATTATACCTTAATTTTTGTCACCTTATTATAATTCTTTCATTTGTTTAATTGCAACTCTATTATTTTTATTATTATAATTCAACTTTTTTTTTCATGTGTTTTATTCTATTTATTTTTATTTAATATTTTGTTTGTAATAACTTAATTATTTTATAATTTGTTGTATTATATTACATATCAATATATAGTTGTAGCATGAGTTATATATCAATTTTTTGTTTCCCTTGAATTGAGGGTTTTCGGAGGGGAGGGGAGGGAGAGGAGTTATGATAATATGTATTTTTATTATATTTACAAAATTATTTTCACTTTTATTTAATAAATTTTTTAATTGTTTTTATTAATATTATACTTTAATTTTTGTCACCTTATTATAATTCTTTCGTTTGTTTAATTGCAACTCCATTATTTTTATTATTATGTTTCAACTTTTTTTTTCATGTGTTTTATTCTATTTATTTTTATTTAATATTTTGTTTGTAATAACTTAATTATTTTATAATTTGTTGTATTATATTACATATCAATATATAGTTGTAGCATGAGTTATATATCAATTTTTTGTTTCCCTGGAATTGAGGGTTTTCGGAGGGGAGGGAGAGGAGTTATGATAATATGTATTTTTATTATATTTACAAAATTATTTTCACTTTTATTTAATAAATTTTTTAATTGTTTTTATTAATATTATACTTTAATTTTTGTCACCTTATTATAATTCTTTCGTTTGTTTAATTGCAACTCCATTATTTTTATTATTATGTTTCAACTTTTTTTTTCATGTGTTTTATTCTATTTATTTTTATTTAATATTTTGTTTGTAATAACTTAATTATTTTATAATTTGTTGTATTATATTACATATCAATATATAATTGTAGCATGAGTTATATATTATGCAAAATTTAATCTTATAAATATGTTAAGGATTAAATGGATCATCAAGATGAGAAAATGGTTCATATGATCATTGATCATATAATTTTATTTTATTAAGATATTTTAGAGTATTTTAAATGTTAAAAAATTTATTTAGCATGATTGTTATAATATTTTAAAGGTAAAAAGATAAATTAGTTTTAAAACTCGTCCCCCTCCTTTTGGGAACCAAACATATATTTGAATAAAACTTCCTCTCTTATGAACCAAATATACGTTTAATTAAAATACATACCCTCACCTTCTCTCCCCTCCCCTCCATTGAACCAAACGGACCCTTAGTGTTTTAAAATAAAATTTAATCTTTAAAAACTAATAAATTGGGACAGTTTTGTTTTTACCTTGTTTATATGATTAAGAAAATGTTGAAGAATGAAAAAATAAAAGAGGAATTTAATAGAAATTTTAGTAGTTTAGTATAAGAAATATACATTGCTAAAATAAAATAAATTTCCTCAAAATAAAATAAATAGACATAATAAAAAGGATTTTTTTTTCATTACAATCAATTAAAATTTACAAATTACAAAAAAAACATAATAAATAAAAAGAACAAAACTAATTTCAATCAAATAATATATAATTAAAACATATTTAATAGAGACTATTGTTTTAATTTTCATTTTTTAGTCTATTTCTTTTTCTTCTTTTCAATTTAAGAGGATTGATTTCTACGATAGAGTTCATACATTTTAAATATTTGACTAGAAAAATCAAGAGAAAAAGTGTAGGACTCGCAATAAAAACTAATCTTTTCGAATTAAAAAGAATATAAAAAAATAGATGACAAACAATCAAAAATAAAATAATAGTCTTCAATTAAGTTAATATTTAATTAATGTTTTTATCTATTTAATATTATTATTTTTTATTATATATAAATTATCAAATTGGAAAATTTGATTGTTATGATTTTTTGTTCTTTCTTTATATATTTATAGTTTTTAGTTGATTTGTAATGAGTTTTAAGTTTAATTTTCTTCTTCTTTTTATTATGTCTAATTTTTCCTGAGAAAATTTATTTTATTTTATCAATATACCTTTTTTTTTCTCTAAAATAAAATACTAAGTTTTCCATTCATTTTGTCTAACTTTATATATTTTTTTCTTTCACAAACTTTTTCATCTATAGTTTCTTTCTTATTAATCAAAGAGTAAACAATATAATTCTAAATTGCTGCCAATTCTTTTTTTATTTTTTTAAGAGTACAACAACAATTTGAATGAACTTTTACTATAATATTCTATTTAAAAATGTGTTTTTATCAAAATCATGAAAAATGTTAATAACACTCTCTTTTCAACATTCTCTAATACTTACATTCTCATTGATTGAAATAAGCGTGAGTCCTATTATTTTATGTGGGACCTATTTACAAAGTGAGAGACCCGCACATGTTTCAATCAATAAAAAAAATAAGTGTTTGAGAGAATGTTGAAAAGAGAGTGTTGGTAGCACTCCTCTCCAAATCATTGATGTTAAGATTTTTTTTTTTAGTTGTTTGGCTTCTTTTCAAACAAAGAGTAAACAATATAATACAAAATTGCTGTCAGATTCATTTTTTTAAGAGTACAACAACTATATGAATGAACTTTTACCATAATATATGTTTTTATCTAAATCGTTAATTTTAAGATCTTTCTTTTTTTAGTTGTTTGACTTTTTTTCATTTGATATATTCTTCTTACTAGAAATCTATATAAATCTATTTTCATCAACTTCTCTACTATAACGGTTTGCTGTTGGAAATAATGAAGATTTATTTCCATTAAAGTTGTTCCAAAATGACAAAGTGGGTGATAGAGTTAATTGACAATAAATGATTAGTCCCACATTGGAAGTGGAGTAAAATTAAATAGCATTTATAAGACCCTTGGACAATGTACTTTCCAAAGGAGCCAAAGAGGATAAAGTGCCACATAGTCATATGTGGTGGTCCCAAGTCTTATGTCACTTGTCTCATACAAAACACCTCTCGCCGGTGTCGCCACCGGCGACACCGGCTCCAGAACCGGATCCGAGGGCATGGACGAGAGGCGCTAGTGGCGGCTTGTAGACGGCACTTGAGCACTTAGGCACGACGCATCGGCGCCGGTGGCGGTCCGGCCGCCTCCGGCGGGCGGTCCGGCCTTCGGCCGGTATACTGCGAATTTGTTTTAATTGTCGCTCCAGATTTTATTCGTTGCCTAGAGTTTGATTTTTGAATTTGAATTCGAAATATATGACACTTCATGAAGTGGTGCATGACATTTTATTTGAACCATTGCAAATGCTCATTAGAGAATGTTGTTTATGAAGAGTTGCAAACTTCCGAAACGACACATGCATGGCTATAAATATATGCTTGATACTTCGAAATCAAATACTCCAAAAATCTGATATCCTCTTCTATATAATTCCAAACGTTTTCCTTGCATTCGAAACTTCACCAGTCTTGTGCAATTTCGAGAACAAGGCTGACTTATCCTGGGTATTCAGGTCGTTCCAACTCTAAGACAATTTAAGAGTGTGCTTGAAATACTTTTAACGAAAGTGATTTCGTTCACGATTCAGTCTGGATCTATTCAACATTGAAGCATTATCTAACAATCTTAAAAGTATTTGTATCATGGATTCTGACGCTGCTGTTTCAAGCATCAAGGTTATGAATCAGGATCTTGTCAAATTGGATCGCTTCGATGGAAACAACTTTACCAGATGGCAAGACAAGATGACATTCCTGCTTACTGCACTCAAGGTTCACTACGTCTTGGATCCTGATCTGACACCAATTCCAGAACCAACTGAAGATGATTCTGACGAACTCAAGAAGAAGCGCATGCTGCGAAGGGAGGACGAATTACTATGCCGTGGACATATTCTGAACACGCTGTCTGACCGCCTATACGACCTATACACGGACAATCCGTCCGCTAGAGACATATGGAATTCACTGGAGTTTAAATTCAAAGCCGAAGAAGAAGGTACGAAGAAGTTCTTAATTTCTAAATACTTTGATTTTAAATTTATAGATTCCAAACCCATACTTCCCCAAGTGCACGAATTGCAAGTCCTGGTGAACAAAATCAAAGCGGTGAAAATAGACATTCCTGAAACCTTTCAAGTTGGTGCAATCATTGCTAAGTTACCAAGTTTGTGGAAAGGCTATAAAAAGAAACTGTTGCACAGTTCTGATGACTTTTCCTTGGAGAAAATCCAGAAACATCTTCGAATCGAGGAGGAATCGAAGGAGAGGGAAAAATCAGAATCTGCGGGTCTTTCCAAAGCCAATTCTGTGACCAAAAAAGAAAAGAAAAAACATGATGTC